CTTCACAAATGCGGGTTTCGTTTTGAGTCGAAAACTCGTTCACCGTAGAAGAACGTTAAGAGTGGACGCATTTCACGGCTAATGTATACAATGTTTTCAACGAGGATCTCGGTTTGCACTTATCACCTACACATCTACCAACTTTTAGCATCTTTGCGGACATGTGTGCTGAAGCGTTCACCGTTTTCCGATGAATAAGTTCAAGAGGAAATGAACGTAACGGCAGCACGAAACAAGAAGTAGCAGTGATTCGTGGTAACGCTGATGAGGACGTGAATGTCTTAATTAGTGAATGTCATGCATGGATAGTTGAGAGATGGTGGATAGAACGTCGCTGAATTGTATCCTAAATTGTATCTGAATTGTATTTTTCGACCAACATCGAAAAAAGAAATCCTCTCAAAAAGTGTATCTATCTTTCAAGCAACGACATACACAACAAACACACCGCAACTATGGTCACAGTTGCGTGTGTAACGTGTATGGAACTACGATCATTCGAATGCATACTCATTCACATTTTCTAATGAATCGCTGACTAGCACTGAAAGCTAATTAATTGTGTCGTCATGCGAATACGTCAGCGACGTTTCAAGTAGCACTGGCAAGCTTTGAACGATTACATGGAAATGTAAACGCAACGTACCGATCAAAGCAAGAGGTAATCAGCGATGAATGTCAAACGGATGAGCGCTTGTTGTTTCGTAACTTAAATCGTCATCAGCTAAGAATATGCCTCTAATTTGCTATCAAATCGAGTGATGCACCTATATCAGTGTTTTGATGTAATCATGAATTTTCAATTCTCAGAAGAACTTCAGCGCTCCAGGCGAAAGATTAACGATGTTCATTGGCTGCAATGAACATTGGTCAATCAACATTACTGGAAGATCTATGTTTGATTACGATGTAATCAAATGTTAGAGAAGAAATGTGACGTTCATAAAAAACTTCAGTTTGAGTAAAATGGCGACATTAATTGTATGACATGAAGGAAATAAAGAATAATGATTATTGCAGGTAGCATTCGAAACCTACGTCACGCTTCAGATAAATATGGAAAAGAACGGAAGGAAATGCAATAGGGCGAGGCTGGTGGACGTCATTTTCGCAGCGGTGACTTTCTCGCTCATTATCAATTGTAAGGAACTCGCCGTTCGAAATGAATCTCGATGAGAGTTTGTGAAACGCAGAGCACGTCAAATTGAAGTCATATCCGTTCAGTTATCCACAATACAGAACAGGTTTGGCGACAGACCACGAAGAGTCCGCCATTCGATGACTCGACATTCGCACTTGGCATCTTGATAATGGCAGAAGAAACTATTGGCAACACATTGCAAATCATTCTTCTATTGTCGACGTTGTACAAATGATGTGAACGAAAGGATATTGTGTGTCATAGTATGGATTAAGTAAATGAGTAATCTAATTAGCAAATGAAATGGTTAAAACAGACAGAATGAGAGTTTAAAAGTGAAAACGATGAAGTTCTGAGTGTGCGTGTGCAAGTAGTAATATAATAGATAGGAGGTTGCTCGTATGTGTTAAAAGTGTATTCGGTATGTTTGCATTCATTCATATGTGATGAAGCAGTGTAAAGCAGCGATGCTAGTGTCAGCCAGCTAGTTAAGCTGTAGCAGCCGCAGATTCATTCGATCAATGCTATGCTGAAAAGCACACTGGTGCTACAAGCAGTCGATATAAAGATAGTGCGTTTCAGTCAGATAAGAAGTTAATTGCTCGTGGACAGTTTGTATTAATGTGATTGCTGATAAGCACAAATTCATTGCGTAAAAACACATAAGTTGAAAACCTGCAGCAAATTTCGTTCTTTTATTGGCTGTCAATGTCGTGAACACTTGCACAAGAGCGAGTGTTCAACTTGTTAAAATATTTTATTACATATTCAGTGGTTCAGCTATCATCGATTCGAGTATGTGTAGTATTTGCGTGTAACTGTTGTCAATGGTACCAGTTGAAATTATACCGACCAGTAATAATCCATATCGCAAGCGCGTTTCTCGCTCTTGAATTCCTATGAGAACTGCCCATGAATATTTAATGTTCTTATTGGCTGACCGATGTCATATAATATCACGGTGACATTCATCACCTTAATGATCCAGACTTGTGTTTGAACGCCCATATCACATCAAATATTCTGTAACACACAGCTAACGACAAAAAAATTGTGCCCTCGCAGAAAATGATTCAGCACCTCGACGGGGCTGAATAACGAACACCAATCATCCAGAAAAAATAGCACCAGCATATTTTCCGTCATTTTCATTGATGGAAGACGTATGCATTTTCCAGTCACTCTTATCTATCAACGACCAGTTGAACCGTTTGAGAAAATGTGTTGAATAATCTCTAGCTGCTCAAAAGTGCAACCCAAATTCAAATAAATGTCGCACAAGTGATTTTCTTTCACTGTGGCCAACATCTGATTGTTTAAAAAAAAATCGAATCCACCTAATATTTAACACCCAGCAGAGCATTTTCACGTATCCTTGTAAATGCTAACCGAGATGAAGTAAACTACTACATCTGAAAGCAGCATAACTACGTGAGAACACTTTTAAAATAAATGTTATCAGAGTACACTCTCAAGAGAGAAAGTTCAGAGTACATCGACTAATGACTGACTTTTTACGTAAGGCTACCTGATTCTCAAATGATAAGTGAAATGAATCAAAACAGACTCCGAAAGATTGCTGATAAGTATAATGACTGCATTAAGTGCAACCGAANATTTCATGTGACAAAACAGATAAATTTTGGTTCAGTTGTCCTACGGGAACATCTGTTTTTCTTCATCGAATATGCATATTTCACAGAAGCGGAAAGTTCACAGCCGTTGCTGAAGTAAACTGTGAATGCCCGAGCTGAGGTCTTCTCGTATATGCTTCAGTGATAACCTATTGATTCTGAAGAGCTGAGGTCTTCTCTATACGCCTTAGTGATAACATTAATTGCTTCACGGATTCTAGCTATACGGGAAACACTGCGGTTGCAAAAATAGGCATTCAGCAAATGTCAGATAACGGAAAGAATATAAAAAAGAAAAAATGCCCTACGTGAAATAAAACAGTCACATACGGCGACTGAGAGAGTACAAATTTATCAAACATTTTCAAATTTGTAAAAAACAAATAATCCTTCAACGCAAAACAACAACAAAAACAATGAACAATGAATCATAACAACAAAATTCACGAATGAAGACATATTACGCGGCAAGGCGCTTGAAATTTTGAAAACTGCACTCAACGATATATTTCTTTTCCATTGATTATTAACACGTGCACAATTCTCAGCACTTTAATTCTATTTCCAAACTGAACGATTGATTGTCTGTCAAATGCATGAATAGCTCAAGAGCGATCAGAGACGTACCCGAATAATGCGGATGCAGAGTACAACCCATGAATTAATCTCTTAAAGTACATCATCAGAATAGCACGTTCATCGTAACATTTGTTATAATTATCAACAAAAACGCCATAAAATACATGTTTTCCAGTCTCGATCTGAGTGTAATTACTTCATCGTTCAATCCCAATAAACTTACGCTCATTCGGTGAAATTAACGGTTAAATGAATCACTTACAGTCGACATAATCATCACACATATTCCAATAAATCATCAAAAGGTTTCGATTAAATCTTCAATTGACGGTCAGCATTTACTTCCTCGGTAATATTGTCGTCCAACCGTCATCATCAGTGATGGTTCGCGGGACTCGTTCTCTTCTCGAAGGAGACATTTGGGATGCCTCACCTGGCTTCTCCTTATCTTCACAAACCCCCTCTCCATCGTCCATACGTTCATTAACACCACTCTCATCGACTTCGCTATCATCGTCGTCATCTGATTCAAATCTACTCTCAGTTGCAGCCTTCTTCACGGCTGATTCAGATGGAAGTTCCGCAAGGAAATCGTTCAGCTCAGCCATTTGGGATTTCCTCACCCACCGTATACACTTCAGCAATGAGGTCGCTATCCAATGAGAGCTATTATCCTGCAAACAATGAAAAAAACATTCATGATACTACAACGTTTTCATCCTCCGAAAAGTCACAATTCATTGAATGACTCTACTTCAAGCAATTCCAAATTTCTTCAGTGAAAAGCGGAATATCTTCGATTCTGTGGGCGATTCCGAATTCACCCGATTGATGATTATACTTTTTATAATTCGTACCTAGTGGGCGTCGCCGTCTGTAAATTATAGTTAAAGGTAGTTTGTAAACTACAAATGACTACAATTGCAAGCTGGTCTTGTCCGGAAAAAAAGCATATTGGAGTTGTTTCAAGTTCACTTTCATGTAAATAATGTACTTGAAGCAAGATGATAAAGGTACATAGACTTCAAATCTGAAGCTTTCTGGGCAGAAAGGGTCGAAAAAATTGAATGGAAAAATTGAGAGCATTGAACACGATACAAACAGCTGAGCCAAATGAATATCAGAAAATCATTCGTAATTAGTCAGCAGATATGTGGTAACTGTCGGCGAACTTTCTGACCTATCTGACGGGAAACACATATCACTGATTAGAAGTTTCGGTTATTTGACTAATATGAATAAATGCACACAGGGATATAAGCATTCAATGTACTCCAGGGAATGAAGTAATAAGAAATTATTTTTTCGTCAAAAAGAACGATAATTGAAAGTTTCGAGGATGACTGACTGTTCTTGAATGCGTTTTTGAGGCCTCACATATCTCTA